CTCGGTGCTGTTCTCCTTGAGCGGCTGCGCTGCAGTCCACACGTGGTGGGGGAGGTTGGAGGCGCCATTGCTAAGGTCGGACGTGTATAGGTATGGAAATGGGTAGATGAGGATGGCGGCAACGGCCACAGAGATGATAAGTGTCGTAACGACGTGTCTCGCAGCGTATCGACCATATCGCGCAAAGCATCGGCGGAGAGGATGGTTCGGGGCAAGGATAGGAGCTTCCGTAGTTCTGAAGGGCAGTTAGTCAAGAGATGCGCGTGAGACCGAGGCACGAGTGCAGGCGGAAGTGTAAGCGGTCCATACCCTCGCAAAGGATACAACAGATACCAAATCATCTGCGGCGACGGTTGCAAGTTGACTTGCAGCAGCTGCAGCAGAAGAAGAGGTTGAACTCAGTTGCAGGAGCGGAGGCGGCTCAGGCGAGCTTTCGAACCATCCACTGTTTATCTGCACAGAATGATGTTGGAGGCCTGCAGGAGTTGGTCGTCGCACTCATGATTCGGTTCGACGGGCAGGCTAGGCGAGGCGGCCAGACGGATGGGACATTAGCGACGGGCCGGGGGATCGTTAGTCGTGCAGGTCTGTCGAAACTGGGGAACGGAGAGGTGAAAGCTTTTGAAATCAATGCGCGCGAAGGAGGGATGTGGGCGCGGCTCTGTCAAGTAGTGTGTATTTGCGTCGGGGAGGAGACGGGGATTGGACGTGGTCGGTCGGTTCCACGTTCGTCGGTCGATCGGGTGTCGGGAGAGGTGGAAGTGGAACGACGGCGGCGGGCACCTGCGATGGAGCCAGGCGAGAGAAGACAAGACAAGACTAATCCTGCTAGTCCGGACTGGCGGCGTGGAAGACGTTGCGGAAAGTGTGTTAGTCGCAGAGTCGGAGGGATTCAATTGGAACGCATGTCCTTTCGTCGGTGCGCTGGTGGGTGTTGTTTGTGCCCGGCGTCTGTGGTGCGGGCGGAGCAAGTCGCAGGTGCTCAAGTCTGGGAGGAGCAATCAATCTTGTTGGAGTTCGGCAGCTTGGGCGACGGGAGATGCGGAGAATGATATGCGGCGGCCAAGGCAGGCGTAATTTGGGACGGCTTTCGGGGGGCGACCCTTGGTTGGTAAAGCGGAAGGTCGATGGTGTTGAAAAAAGACGACGTATTTCTTTGGCAGGTGATTGGGAGCTAAGGCAAGGTCAGGTAAGGTAGTGAGTATCGATCGGTGGATGTAGAGATGTGGTAGCAAGCACGGCGTGGCGTGGCGTGGTGGTGTGGGTTGGCCGACCTGACAGGACGCTGCGGGACAGGAGAGGCAGGGCGGGTGCGATGCGAAAGTGCCCCTGTTGCAGTGTGCAGAGGGGATCGCCCACCACCACCAGGAACCCCATCCGGGGGTACCGGTCTACTAGATAGGTACTTCTCGTCGACTGCTCTTAGGCGACTGCCTCACTGCATACCACCAGACCTTACCCTAGGCGGCCCAGGTGAGGCCCAGGTACCGGCACTTCTTCCACAGGGCGTATTCCTCAAGTAATAGCGCCGCACATGTTATTGCAGTACCTGAGGTGACTGCACCAGCTTTAGGTGGCCCAAGACAACCGACCCGACAGCACGTCGCTGGGGGTGAGGAGCATGGCATACACACACACACACACACACACACACACACACACACACACACACACACACACACACACACACACACACACACACACACACACACACACACACACACACACACACACACTTGTGTAGGCAGCGAACAGCGGGGTGGACGCTCGCCGTCGGTGAGCAGTGGGCAACGCACTGCACCTCAGTCCACTGAATGGTGGTGGAACCTGCCGAAGGCCATGGCGTGGTGTGTCGGGGAACATGGGACGACTTGCCTGCGAAGGTGGGCAGGAAACTTAGTGAGATGGGTCTCCTTGGGGGGAAACCCTGGGGGGGAAAGATGAGACCCGGGGACTTAGAAGATACCTCGTCTCTGCTAGAATCCAAGACCAAGACCAAGAAGGAGACGCTAGAAGCCAAGCCAGGGGCGTTTTGGCGTTGCCGCCAAGCTGGAGACGTCTTGCGTGTCTGAATGTAGTGTATGTGATGGCAGATCGCCCACTAGAGCAAGCCCCCTTCTCGAGCTTGACGCTGACACTGGCGCTGACGTCTGCAGCTCTCCTGCCCTGCTTTCCTGTGGGTGTCCAAGACTTGAGACAAGACCTGAAAGGCTTCTTTCAAGCCAATAATTTGTAAAGGAGGTGCTGCCCTCCTTCTCACGCCAACTTGACGATTCGCTTGCTGGCGCACAGGAAAAGTCCAGCCCGGTCCACCACTGATCCTCCAGGATATCCGAAGGGAAATCATGGGACGCGTGTAGCTCAGACCTCATGGCAAGCAGGGACGAGAGGAGACGTCGCCTGGACTTCGCGGGCAGCTCCAGGCGAGGGAGGGCAAATCCACGCGACGGGGAAGAAAGATAAGGTTCGAAATTGAGGGGTAGTTTGGGAACGTCCTTGGGGGGCTATTTTGGGGGCGACAAAGTCAAAATTCAAGTTGGGGGATCCTGAGATGAAGGCCAAGCGGAGCAGCTCACGCACGAGAGTCAAACAGCCGCCGGCCATGCGTTCCTGCTGCATCTCTGCGTGGTTTCTGGCTTCTGCTCTGCATCTCAGTTCCTCAGACTTGGAGGACGCGACCCCTCACCCCGGCAGCTTGATGCCTACCGCGGCGTGGTTGACGTACGCTTCGCGTTAGTCTACCCCCAAAAATGCCAGCGGTGGACGAGTTTCAAACAGACAGACCAAACCTAGAAAGACTCTGGGACATTCCAGAAGGTCAAGCGGGGTAAAAAACCAAAATGCTGCGACAGACAAATCGTGTCTCTCCCTTCGGAATGTATCAAGGTGAACAGGCACATTTTGCCCGCATCCAAGCGAGAGACATTGATAGAGAAAGAGTTCCTGTCGGCTGTCCTTGGCGCGCCCACTAGGACCGCTCGTCTTTCCAGAGCCGGAGAGGCAGTAGAGAAACAGGGTGCTAGTGGTGGTGATGCTGGCGCCGGCGCTGTCGAGGTAGCGCTGTGCGTGTCAAGAGACGCAAGACAGGCAGCCCGAGGACAAGGAGACCATTCACCGTTTCTGTCTGCAGGAGCTTTGGCGCGCAGTTCTTGAAGTGATTCGTTGTTCGAGTCGTGTTCGCCCCCCTTCCTTCCCTTCAACCCCATCCTGCGCTTCCTGTCTCGTCTTCGCTTGAAGGTCAGCAAGCGTAGGGGTCTCGGGGGTCCGGGCGCAACCCGCGCGGGACACACGGGGTGTTGGAAGCTCCAAGCCGGGTGTAAGTGCAAGCTGCGTGCGGTGCGTACGTGCGCACACCTCGTGGTGTATGCGCGCGGTTTGTCCTAGCGCATTAACGGCGGCCGCGGGCTCGGGGGGACGAGATACGAGGAGCAGGTTGAAGCGGGCGCATGCCCTTCGAAATCCGGTCCGTCCAGCTCGGAAACGTGCCTCGGTCCATCCCCCTCGGCATGGGGGAAATAGAGACAAGCAGTGCTGAACCCTGGGTGCCTGGCAAAGGTAACGCGCTGCGGACGGCTTAGCGAGCCATGTCTTAGCAATGCAGAGAGCCTGGAATCCCGTCACGCTGTCGTGTGGACGGACCGAGGGGGTGATTGTGACGATGGGCGGCAGCGAAGCCCAGCCGAGAGTTCCGAACGCCGATCGATATGCGCCAGTGATGGAGTGTGTGGTCATCGTGTCGTTCTGGAATGCAGGCACACAGCGAAAACGGTAGACTCTGGTGATTATTCATGTCGTGTGAACTTGTGGCAAGCTCAAGCCGCAGACTGAGGTGGCTTTGTACGGCCGGATTCGTTTCCTGGATTTGGCGGCGGTGATGTTGGCTGTGATGAGACTGCGACGGCGACTGTGAATAGAAGCCCTCCCACGCAACGTGGCTGTCGGTTAGTTCCATCGGGTTCACGTCGGAAGAACTGGACGGATGCAAGTGACACTTGTCGATGTCAGCGGTGTTGGTGCAAGGCAATTGGTGTTGGTTGTTATTGGCGGCAAGCAAGCTGTCACCCGACGGGAATATCGTCAGGAAGGTCGGACGGAGTTTCTGCTGACGGGGCAGTACATCAAAGGGAAAGGGCGGCCGGCGCATACTATATAACAAATGGGCGACACGACCAGCATGGGCAGATCTGATCTACGACAATCTATAATTAATCAGATGGGCAATCTTGCAGCAGCTTGGGTAGCCTAAGACCAAGTCGAGTGTGATTGCATTTGCGCGAGGTGCGGTGTGTTTGCTCAAAATCACCAATGCTTCCATCATAATCAGCCCAGTTGATGCCAAAGTCAGGCCATTTCCCACCCGGTCCGCCCTTCTCATTGGCTCCGCACCGCCCTGTGCGGTTCGCACCACCAATTGAGACCCCCATCCTCCCCAAGACCCAGAGACCCTCGATACGATACCCGTGCTCCCACCCCCTCTTTTTCCGGGTACCCTTCGCGCGCAGAAAGCAACAGCAACAGTAGAACACCCCTGTATCTCGCGTGTTTTCCTCCGCAACAGTGTTCCCGATGTTGCATTTTCTTTTTTTTTTTTGCCTTTCCTGCAACTGCGCCGGCACTTCGTCTCAAGCTGGCTGTAGCCACTGAGCCAGTAGCCTGCCCGTTGCTGGTATTCGTAGAACCCGTGAACCCTTCCCGGGGCTGCGTTTAGATGACATGACTTTGAAACCGTGAAACGCCAATAGACTCTCTCTCACCGGCACAAATAAGACCATTTTCAAAACTAAACCGAGAGCCACCTGGGGATATTGGGCAGATTTGCTGCATTACACCTTGTCTGGCTCAATTGAGGCATTCGTCGTAATTCTCGCTCTCCATACGAGAAAAACCCTCCTCCCATCACACCCTGTCTTAGTCATGCGACCACAACTCCATCCCAAACTCATCCTCATTACCACCGCCGGGCGTACCACCGCGCTCACTTTCACATCAGGCCCGGCGCCATGGACTCAGAAACCCTGGCACCACCAGGGGGCCCCCTGTCCGAGCTGATTACCACCTTCAACGAGCTCAACGGCGCCTTCATCGACGAGCTGGACGAGGAGCCGAGTCCCCTCGAGTTCATGCGCTATGTCGCCCGCAACACACCCTTCGTCGTCCGCGGGGCTGCCTCCTCGTGGAGGTCGAACAAGACCTGGGATAAGGAGTTTCTGCTGGATGTCTTCAAGGATCAGACTGTTAATGTCGCCGTGACGCCGTTTGGGTGAGTGGTTACTTACTTGCTGTTGTCCGTAGCTGAAAATCTCATCACACGACTAACACGGAAAAAAAGCAACGCCGATGCGCCAACCTTCCATGACGGAGGAGTAGTCTTCGCAAAGCCTCATGAGGAACATCAAGACTTTGAAGAGTTCCTCAACTACGTGATCGGTCAAGAACGAAGCAAAGACACCACCTCAGAAGTCCGCTACGCCCAGACCCGTATGTCCTTCTCAACCTTCATCTCATCTCATAACTCTCGCTTCATAATTCTCACGACCCTCTCACAAACACGTCACCAACCCTCGGTCTTCACTTACAAAGACTCTCACATCTCATTCCAAAAACACTCATACTCACACCGTTCAACGAACCCTGCACTGACCAACTCAGAAAACGACAACCTCCGCAACGAATACCTCCCCCTCTTCAATCACGTCCCCCCCTCGGTCCCCTTCGCCCGTATCGCCCTCGACCGCGACCCGGACGCCATAAACCTCTGGATCGGCAACGCCCGCTCTGTCACAGCCCTCCATAAGGACAACTACGAAAATATCTACGTCCAGGTCCGCGGCCGCAAGCACTTCGTCCTCCTCCCGCCCCTATGCCACCCCTGCGTCAACGAGCAAAGTCTCACCCCCGCGACGTACCACCGCCACCGTAAAGAGTCCTGCTCTAACGACCTCACTCTGGAGCTTGATCGCGACGACGACAATAACGCGAATGAGGCAAAGAGCAAACTATCAGATAAAGTCCCGTTTGCGACCTGGGACCCGGACTTCCCCCAGGTCAACGCCACGCCATACTCTCACCTCGCAGAACCCGTCAGAGTCACCCTCGAACCTGGCGACATGCTCTATCTCCCTGCCATGTGGTATCACAAGGTTTCACAGTCTTGCCCAGAAGACGGCGAAGGGTTCGCGTTGGCGGTTAACTACTGGTGGGCTTCACTCCACCATGCCAAATATCAACACAGACTCACCCTTTCATCAGGTACGATATGGAATTCAGCGGTCCCTTATACCCATTTAGCTCCTTCGTCAGAAACATCAGCCTACAAAAGTCTTCACCCTCAGCAGCAAGGCAATAAGAGAACGCTCAGGGGGCCAAACGCCATTGATATTAATAACCAGTCTCCCGGCGTGTGTTTGGGTCTCGTGTTTCAGTCCCCAACACCGGTGTCTCCTTCGCCATATGTACATTGTGGTGATATACGCTCGGATTACCTAGAGATGGTTGTGTCGCTCGCCCTCGCACACCTCAGGGCCTGCCCCCTCCTCTCCCCTCCCCCGTCATCGTAGGCAGATAAATATCACGTAACCTGCTGGCCAGCCTGGCCCTTCAAATGGGCCCAGTTAGCCCCGTTGCTCCGAAAATGAACGCCAAAGACCGCATCCGCGGAGAGTATTTCATAGTACACTTTTTCCCCCGCCCTTTGCCCAAAAGTTTCGTCTCCATTCCCTTACCCGGCCTCGGTTGGTATGCATATAATATAAACGCAAAGACGGATCCAAGGGGTATGCATGTGTGAAGAGAACAAATGAGAGACGACGATCAATCACCGTCGACGACTGCCCCTCGCAAAAAAAACGACTCTAGAAGTTGAGTTCCTACTCCCGCAACGCAACTAGCCCCCATAAACATGCATGAGGGCGCAATGCAGACAACCCGCCCGTCCACCAAAAAAACACCGGAAAGAAGCGATCAGAATTAGTTGAGGAATCCCTTGCACGCCGCCGTACCGCAAAGACAGGGAATGCGGTCCAAACTGCCGATTTCACGTTCGAATTTGTAGTCGTATGTCAGTTCCTCGTCTGCCGGGATATTAGCATATTCCCCAAACCACGAATCAGAACAATACTCACGCTGTGCAATGTCCCGGAGGGCATAAATAACGATTCGTTTGCTTCCATCCACCTTGATGATCTTGGCCGTACAGTTGGGCATGCAGCTGTGGTTGATGAATCGAGCAATACCGCCCTTTTTGGTCGCATCAATGACGGTATTATCGTCGATGCGGAACAAGTAACTGCTGCCCATGCCGCTCTTGAGGTAGCGCTTCTCCCGAATCTCCGAGATGGACTGTCTGACTTGTTCGCCCACGTACTCGATAATCATGTCATCTTTGTTGATGTTCTCTTCCGTATAGAGACCCCAGTTGTGGATGGCAGACCTGGCAAATTTGACTGGCTTCTTCCGCTTCTTAAGCTGGTTGAATTTGAAGGCATCAGAGTCGCCCGACATCTTCTTCTCGTCCTGAAGAGCTGACACGTGGCGACGGTTGTTTGCACGATTAGCTCTGGAGTTGCCCTTGGCGACGACCTTTTCAGCGACAGCAAGTCTGCTGGCCTCAACCGCCGCGTCCTTGCCATCCTTCTTGTACTTCGCCTGCCGTGCCTCTCTTTGTTTCTGGACCTTGATGTGATGAGGCAGATATTTGGACTTTTCGGCGTTAAGAATCTTCTTGACACCTTCGGTTCGTGCGGAACCGGTGGAATTAGAGACGTAGTAGCCTTCAATACCAACCGCACGATCGATAGACCCGTCCTTTGAGTTGAGTTCCCGTACCCTGTTGCGCCGCCAAAGCCAAAGAAGCGGGTCCCCAAGATCTGCCCCTCCAAATCTTTTGCTGAGCCTGGCCAAGTCTGGCATATCCGCAGCTGACATGGACAACTCTTGCATGGTTGCAATGTCGAGCTTGAAGTCGGCAGGCAGATCAAGAGCGCGCCTCGGCGTCGTTGAATACAGGGTGAAATCCACAGCAGCAACAGGCTCGTCCTCCTTCTTTGCTGCTAATGCTGGTGCTGGCTCTGGCTCTGGCTTCACCTCCTCCAGCGGGGTTTTCGCGGGGACCGGCTCTTCCTCTTCTGTTTCCGCAACCGACTGTGCTTGCTGTTGCTTCTTCAGAGCCTCACGTTCCTCGAACAGTTGTTTCTTTGATTTCTTCTTTGACTTCAACTTCTTCACCGAAGCCTTGGTTGAGAGAGCCGGGGTTTCGGAGCGAGTCTCGCTTCGCACATCAGTCATGTCGACATCAGGCGTGGCTTCCTCAGATATTTCATGAACTGGCAAGTCGGGCTCCATGTTGTCTAGCGTGACCCCAAAGAGTTCCTCGTCGGACTTCTTATGGCGCTTAACTGCTGACTGAAGCTCAAGGTCCAGTTTTCTCTTCTTGGTCGAGGTCAATCCGTCAACAACTGCAAAGCTTGCTTCGGTCATGGAGTCTTCCTCCGCAGGGCCCCACGAAGCAAAGTCTTCCCTGGACACATCATCGTCTGTACTCATGCGACTGCGCGGCCGGGAATCAGGCTCTTCCGTGTCCCTTGCGACAGACTCTCTGACCTCAACTTCTTCGTCGGATTCGACGTCGCTATCGTAGCTCTTCAGTCGATGGTGGAGTGACCTGAAAGCGCCGCGGCTTTGAGGGGCACGCTTGCGCGAGAAGGGATCCATAAACCCAACATTATTACGAGCCCCATGTCCTGTAGCCTTAGCTTTACGAATACGGGGTAGGGAGGATATCTCTAGACGGCCGGTACGACGCTCGATGGGATCTGCTCCCGAATTGGGAGTAGCGCCACCAGGACTCTCGTCACCTGCATCTACGGTAACTGACGGGACAGAACCAGCTGGATCTCTGAGTCCGAGTTTCTGGCGCATCGCGACGTGATTGGAGGGGTTGAGGAAGTTCGTCAAAGTAGGAGCGGCAACCCTTGATCTGATGTGCTTGATCAGATGCTCTGCCAGTTCTCTGGCAACAACATCGCAAGCTTCCATGACAGGGTCAAAGTTCTTAGCTCTTTGTCGCTTTTCCTCTTCCAGATCTGCTTCCTCTTCGCGACGGCGGCGATCCTTATCCTCTCGCAATCGCTGATCGGTTCGACGCTTTCGTTCGGGGCTAGGGGTTCGTCGTGAGCGGGGAGCTGGGGCTGCCGACTCAGAGTCTCGAGATGAGTTCTGCGGGAGGTAGAGCTGCATAACCATGTTGTACGTGAACAGGTCGGTGTGATTAGCAGCTCTGTAGCACTTCATGGCTTCATTTCGACCATGGAAGGTGTTCGGAAAGACAATAAAGTAGCCTGTTCTGTCGATGCGAATTTCGTCAAAAGCGAAAGCCTTGAGGCGCTTCTTCATGTGCGGAATTGTCGTAACCATAACGGGCACATGTTCGTGCGCGACAAATACATAGGGGTCGTGTTCGAGTTGCTTCGCGATAGCCTTATCCTCTATAGCAACGTGCCCCTTTGGCTGACTTGGCACCCAGGGAGGGACACCAGCCACTGCTTGCCGATGGGACGAGGGGCCCTTTGGCGCCAATGGTGGTGGACCAGGAACCTTTTCGGGCACATTCACCCGCGGGCCTGTTGGAGGCGCCTTTGAAGCAGCGTGTACAGGGTGTACATCTTGGGATGCACGCTCTCTTCTCAAGGCTTCCTCAAGCATGCGAGCGCTTTTCTTGCCCTCGGGATCATACTCGACTCGGATCTGGTTCGCCTCAATTCGCTGCCCGTGCATAGCTTTCACAGCGCGGCGCGCGGCGTCAATTGCCCTGATCGGGTTGAGCCTCGAGCGACCGGGATGCGCATCCTTGTATCGAAACGTCGCAAAGCCAAGATAGCTGCCTGTCTCAGGATGCATCTTGTTGCTGCTCTCTGCAATGTCTCCAAATGTCGCGAAAGCTGCCGTCACCTTGGAAAAGGTGATGAGAGGATTGAAGCCAGTCACGACGATCTGTGTTGGTGGGCCAGGCCCAAGCGAGGTTTTCGAGTCGTACGGATACGGCTTGAGATTATATGGCGACTGTCGCAGTCGAGACTTTGGAAGATGGAAGTCGGTGTTGATATAGCCCAGTCGCCCGCCTTTAGCGAGGCGAGGGTCTGGAGGGGGGGTGTCATCTTCCTACTCAGTTTATTAGCCATAGCTCTCACTCAAAAGATGACGCCCCCCCTCCACGGGCGGATATGTTATGTTTGTACGTACCAATCCAAACTCCTTGTATATCGGCTTGGCACTTTTCTTATTGTGCTTCGACAGGGTCCGGTCGTTAAATGGATCATATGTGCATTTGATGCCTTTCGTGATTCGAGAAGGATCTCGCGCAGGAGTGCGCTCAATGGGTGAGGGCTCCGGGAGCGAGCCGTTCAGGCGGGATAATGGGGTATTGCGGGAGGCCGATGCCTCATCCCGATCGATGGTTTGTGCGTGGACCATATTCGTCTTCGGCAGGCCAGCATTTCCCGAGTATGAAGGTGATTCTATTGAGGTGAGCGGCGTGCCGCTGGTGGTGGGTATGTGAGATGAGCCGTTCGGGGCGGCCTGTCGCGCAGACGTGCTGAAGACGGAGGAAGAGCCAGTGCTCGCATAAGAGCTCGCAGATCCAACGGCGTTGAGTGTATCTCCTAAAGGCGACTCATGGCCATCGGCCGGCTGTTGAGAGGAGTCGGAGAGTAGGCCATCAGTACCAGATGGCGCTCGGGCGCTTGTGCCGTTGAGCGAAGCGGTAGCACCACTCTTCTGGCCAACAAGCAGGCCACTGGCAGCAGGAGTATCTTGTGTCTTGGCCTTGGCCTTTTCTCTCTCGGTGGCCCTGTCTCTGGCAGCACGTGGTGCGGCAGGAAAGAATTGCGCGAAGCTCGCCGACGGTTGGCGGGTCATCGTGAGGTGTATCTGTCTCTACCACTCCCGCCTGCGACCGACCATCGTCTCTTGCGTGTCGGATGCTTAGACGGCAGAGGGCATCGCTGGAGACAACAGCGGCAGGAGCGTGGCGGGAGACAGATGCGCGATGTTGAGGTTCACGCGACCCAGGAGGAGTCGACACCGACACGGGCGGTTGGCGGCTGGCGGGCTAGCAAGGGGGGCAATAGCCCAACTGCGTCATCCAAGGATGGAAATACCCAGTCGCGAACGGTGCGGCTTCGACGCAGTCAATCTGCGAAGGTCGTAGATGGAAGCGGTGTGCCGTGCGATGCGATCGACGAAAGGCGAGGGCGGGAAAAAAATAGAGCAGTGAGGTCAGAAAGTTGGAGGTTGAAGAGTGTCCAAACTCTTTCAGGGATGCGATTTAGCGGAGACCAGCACGGAACAAGGCGAGGGAGAGCACCGTTGCAGCATGGGTATCCGTAAATTGCTTTGGTGCACCTCTGGCGGGTAGAGGTAAGGTACTGGCTCACCGTATTCGTGTCGCCAGGTACACTTGAGTACCTCCAGGTGGACTGGTGGACACTGGTTGACAGCTGGCACGTGATGAGTTTCGGGTCTCGACGCGTAGAACCTTTTGCGCGTTTCTCACCAAAGATACAGGGGTGTCAAAGAAGCTACCCCGTCACTTTGGCGTCATGAGCCAATGAGAGAACTCGGCTTAAATTTGTTCAAGATAATTCCCAAGACTATCATTGTGTACTGCTCAACAGTCTACCAACTCGTGGGAGCCCCTAAGTAGCTAACTGGAATCAACCATTACATTCCGGTAAGGTAGAGCCAAACTGGCCAGCAACTAAAATAGACGCAGCTAAGACTTCGCATCCAAAGGACATGGGCCCTCTTTCGTCTGCTACCTCCCTGCAGCAAATCCATTCATGGGTTTGACAAAGTAAATACATTCATACCAGCCTTGGCTGCCTGCCATTCGGCCTCTTCAGTCTTTCCTGTAGTCGTGATATTGTAGGCTCACGATGCCATCCAAACGCCTTCTAGTCCGTAACCATTCCATAAAGTTTTACAAGTGAGGGTAATCCTGTCCAAACGCCAACCAAGCGACCGGTGTCTACAAGTTCAAGTTCATCTCGAACTCGTCATCTTCAAAGTCCTCATTCTTGGGACCAACATTTCCGAGGACATCGCTCTCGTCGTCTCCGGCCGGATCAAAGATGGAGAGGAACTGGAGGCGGCCAAGTTCCTCAGCGTCCTGTGCATGTCCGTCCGGCTTCTTTGGGGATGCCTCACGTCGGACGACAGTCTTCCGGGGAACAAGTGTGGAGACATCCATTGACGCAGGTCGCGCTCCTGCAGCAGGCCTGGCTCGTCCACTGACGAAGGATGAAGCCGAACGACCCTTGTTGTAGCCAATGGTGCTTCTGGAGGCCGCTTCGCCAACAGCACTCTCTGCGTTGGAGGACTTGGAGGCCAGAGCTGCTCTGGCAGGCCTAGTGCGGGGAAGAATAGACGAGAGGGGCCTTCTGGCCGTGGTGGTGGGCTCAACGGGCTTCCTCTGCTTGATGGTAGAGCCGGTGGCCATCGACAAAGCGGATGCAGCCCTTCGAGAGGCGATGGTAGGAGGGTACTTGCCTCCCACAGTCTTCTTTGCAACGGCTGGATTGGGGGCAGGGGCGGGAGCCTTCCTCCGGCCAAAAGCTGCAGTCTCGGGGACATCAGCGACAGACCAGTCCATCTCTTGGATGTCCCGGAGGATACGGTCGTCGGTCTCCTTCAGGGCCTTCTTGAGCTTCTGTTGCTGCTGTCTGTCCTGAAGCCTAACACCGTCCTCGCCCATGGGGTTGTAGAAGTGGTTGTAGTAGCCCTTGAGCAAGTTCTCTGGCTTCAGCCCCTCGAAAGTCAAGTCTCCGTCGATAATGTCAGACTGGTAAGGCAAGTCTTTGGCCGGAGGCGGCGCATATTCCACGTCAGGCTCATCCGCAGGGCCAGCTTGGTCGTTTCGCACCTCGAGCTTGAGGGGAGCAGCGCCGGGAGACCGCTGCTTCAGCTTCTTGGTGGTCGTGGGCTTCGTCTGGGTCTTCTCGAAGTCCTTGACAATGTCCTTCACTCCGGTGTTCTGGGTGCTCTTTGCCTTTGCGTTGGTGGTTTTGTTTCCAAGTGGCGCCCGAGCACGTGTCTCTGCCAAAACATCAGTCCCTTTCTTTTCCTAAGACAGTCATCTCAGAGGCATACCGGAGGGAGTGACGAGGTTCTGCTTCTTGGCGGTGCCCTGAATAGCTCCGTTGGCATTGGACTTGGGTGCAAGCACCGACTTGCCTGCGTTGACGGCATTCTCATCGTTGAGGGGAATCTTCAAAGGCGTCTTCGGGTACCGGGCTCCAGGGGTCTTGGGAGCCATTTGGCTTTTTCCGGGGGCAAGTCGAGCAGCCTGGGCCGCGTTGACGGCGTTCTCGTCTCGGATCGACAACATTATCCCTAGAGCCAGATGGCGGAGTTGTCGATAGTTGGATGTATTCGTGGTTTCGCTGCGGTGGTGAGTGTTGTCGTCGTATGCCGTCTATCGTGGTACTGTCATCGCCTGTCTTGTCGTTCGTTCAAGACTATTGCGTCGTCAAGAGGCGAATGGGGGGGCTAAACGGATTTGTCTGTTTGGTGGCGTTGACCGGGAAACGAAGCGCAGAAGCTCAGACTTAGCGTCCACCCCATGAATGAGAGTGTCCAGTGCTCTCGGCTCTCACAATGGAATGAATGCCACCGCCGCACCGCGACCTGCACCGTGCCACAGAACCCCACTCCACCTGACCCGACCCCACCGCCCGTGCCAGAGCTAATCCAATTGCAGCTGCCTGTGAGCGTGTGAAGATCAGGCCTGGCTGTCCACTCAGCAGGAATTGCTTGCCCCTGGCACCGGCGCTGGCTGGGGCTGCTGGCACGCTGAGGGTGGTCCGCCACGGGTCGCAGCTGGAGCGAACTTGCATGTAGAGGGGCAGTTATTTCAACACCTCACACCCTTTCCTCCCGCTTCCATCCCCCGACAGTTGCGATTCCACGTTCCCCGATCACGTCTCATTCCCAACTACAACAAACTGCTTATCGCATTCTTCTTGCACCAAACTCAACTTTCCTCAACCACCACAAAGTCTTTCGCAGCTCAGCACCATCATCATGGATCGCATCAAGGAGGTAAGTCTTCCCCTCACGTCCAAGCCCCACCATGCTGCCACCGGCGGTCTGGAGGGGTAAGATGTCGCCTCCCGAAAGCTGTCGTGAGATCATTGCTGACGACGTCTCTCTTTGCCTCTCAACAGAAGATGAACTCCCTCCGTCTGGAGGCTGACGAGTCTGCCGCCAAGGTTGAGGAGCTCCAGGCCAGAGTCAAGACGCTCGAGCAGGAGAACCTGGCCAAGGAGCAGGAGATCACCTCTCTCCAGCACAAGAACGGCCTGCTCGAGGGCGAGGTCGAGAAGCTTGAGACTGCAGTTAAGGACTTCAAGAAGGCTGCCGACGAGAGCGCCGGTACTGGCACACAAAACGAGACCCTTCAGCGGAGACTCCAGCTCCTCGAGGAGGAGGCCGAGGAGGCGGACAAGACCCTTCGTGAAGCCAACGAGAAGTACGTTCTGGACCCTGTCATCGAACCGTCCAAATATTTCCCCCCCTTTTCTTTAGCCTTCAACCACCCCCCGACCGACCCCCTTTCGTGTTCATTAAAACCCGCCCCACCGATGAATCTCGTTACTTACACCGTCTTTTTCCACAGGCTCCGACAAACCGACGTCAAGGCCGGCCACTTCGAGCGCAAGGTCCAGGCTCTCGAGTCGGAGCGTGACCAGTGGGAGTCCAAGTACGAGGAGATGTCCAAGAAGTACACCCAAGTCCAGAAGGAGCTCGAGGACTTCCAGAACGAGATTGGCAACATCTAAACCTGTATCTCTCACGGGGGAGTCAATTCGTGCAAGGCTTTTTCGTTGTGATAGATTTCTGGCCTGGAACACCTCGCTTGGGGGACCTGAGCAAGCGATCCCGATAGCGGTGGATTGCAAGTGACGGGACGATTTGCGACCGAGTTATAGCAGCCTTGTTTTTACTCCTTTTTTTGTAACCCCCGTCAACAAGAGTCCTGTTCTGCCTGAATGCCTCGGTCTACGAAAGTCTCGAGGAGACAACACAAGCATCTCGTCGAATCACGCTGGGCGTGTGAGGTATCTTATTGGCAGCTTCTGAACCACAAATCCGAGTTTATACCCTCCTCATTTCTTGAACTTGGCCTTCTTCTTGGCCTTCAGCTTCCTGTCGCCAACTTGTCTCTCCAACTTTGACTCGTAGCGGAACTTGGGCTTCTTTGGCCTGTCCTTGAACGTCTTCTTCTTCGCCGCTGGCTTGTCCGCTGCAGGATTTTCTGTCTTGTCCTTGTCTTCGTCATCCGCTTCCTCGTCGCTGTCTTGGTTGAGTTTCTCGAGACCGTCACGCGTGACGGCGATGGCCTCGACCTTGACCGTGGTATACCGATCTTCGTCTATGTACTCGTCTTCGTAGTCCACGATGTCTGTCTGCGCCGCTTGCTCCTTGCCCTGGTCTTCGATGCCGTCCCACTCTTCAAAGTCTGAAATTTCCTGGTCGTTGTCTGAGTCCGCGGCTTGCGCCTCTTGGAGCAGTGCGTTCACAGCCTTGACATGCTCCTCGACTTCCTTTTGCCGTTCTTGCTTTACCTGTGATTGCCTCGTATTAGCGACATTCACCTGAAACGAGGCAACGATGACCAAGACAGATCCTTACCTGTTTTCTCATCTCGATCTTCTCCTCCCTCGCCTTCTTGGCCGCCTGCTCCTGCGCAAACTTTACGCGCTGCAGCTTGCGCTTGTGAAAACCGGTCAAGTAATCCTGCCGCGCATCAAAATCGAAGTTGACCTCCTCAACGGCAGACTCGGCCTTGCGCTTCTTGGGCGGCGGCGGCAGCGCGGACTTTTTCGGTCGGGGTCTGGCGAACATGGTTGGTTTATGGTGGTGGTGTTGCTGCTTCTGAAATCGGAGTTTGCAGTCGCGGATTCGTTCGTGGTGGTGGTCTTGGACCTTGAACTGAAATTTTTAGAGCGGCGAACTTGCAGCCTTGCAGGTGTCCGGGTTGGGGGCTGGGGGAGGGACCCTGCTGCTGCGGCCTCTGTAGGGTCCACTGATGCGGGCCAAGCCGAGGAGCTAAATGCGCTGGAGGGACCTCGCTCGACCTGCATCTGTCAGTGAAACCAGGTGACATCGGCATTGGTTTACTGGATTCTGCCCCTGTCCGAAGTCTTTCAGCGTTTGCCGATGTAAGGCAACCGTTTGCCTGTACAAGCTGGGAAACGGATCAAGCTATCAATGGCAATTTTGTTATTTCAATTCATACCGCATCACTCCGTGCCTAGATCAAAGAACTCATAGCAAGGCGGACAGTTGTACTTTATTCCTGAATGCATTCAGCCTTTTGTTAGGGAACTTCAATCAGAATTCGAAGTATCCTTCATACTCTATTATTGTAGAGTCCACTCACTAAGACGGTATCATACAATTTGATCATGAAGGAATGCTATTAAGTTCTACCTTGGTTTTCTGTTCATTCAATCAGCTGCCGCACACCTCTCATGTCTTTCCACTACCCTCACAATAACCAGGAAGTTCAGATTCCTGGGCTACATGTCTATGTTGAATGAAAATTTGCACCCTGACGTGGCAATATCTATAAGTGCAGATAAGAAAATGAACCACTTCGAGAATAAAACAACACATCTATCGAGACAAAGAAATAGCGAAGCAAAGACACAGTAGTATGCTGGCTTGGTGCATGTATCCGAGTCTATAGATGTACGACCTAATATGCATCTATCAGATTGCTGCGGATCATGATTACGTAAGGCTCAAACGTTCGAAGCTCAGGTAAGGTACCTTGGCCATGCGTCGTCCTGCAGCCAGCGTATGTCCAGCAGCACTACGAAGACATCGCATCGAAGACCAGGCTCATCTTCGAACAGCAATCCCCCAAACAGCCAGTCATGCGTCTTTCAAGAACAGCAGGTCTGATGGCCTTCTGCGCCACGGCGCAAGCCTTCACCGACTCCTCTCCCTTCGTCATGCTCTCGACCGCAGAGTACGTCCCCGAACAACATCCGCCCCTCGACTCGACATCATGCTAACCCATCGATCTCTCCAGCTTCGCAAAGTCCGCCACCAACGCCGCCCAGCTCCAGACCGAGTCACAGGTCCTCAAATCCGTCCAGGACCTCCTCTCCTCCTGCCCTACCGACCGCTACCTCGTCGTCTCCCAGCCGAACGCTAACGCGGCCGACATTCGCGGCCCTGACGGCGGCGACTGCCGCTCCCCCAACCTCTGCCGCGCAATCTCTTCCAAGGACATCCGCGGCGTGTACAGCGTCGCCGAGGTCGTAGGCGAGGTTAAGATCGATAGCGTCGCCGAGTACCTCCACAAGGCGTGCGGCAGCAAGAAGATCGAGATCGACCAGACGAGACTCGCGCCCCTTGGCCGCGATGCCCGCGAGAGAGCCTCCACGCTCGCCGACAACGACCACGTCCTCGGCCAGAGCCTCGAGAAGTTGCGCAAGACCTCCGACTCATACACCGTCATCTACCTCGCCAGCCCATCTGAGCCAACCTACCAGGCCGAGTTCCCCGAGGAGCCCCTTCACGCCGAGCTGAAGCGTCACGAGGCCAGCCTGTTGCAGGTCCGCAAGGACAAGAACGAGACCAAGTGGGAGAAACTGCCCTTGTTTGAGAAATACGTCTTCTTCTCTCCTGGTACGTCTCGTCTTTGAATTTGGTGGACTCAAGGAATGCTAATGTATATGCAGGCATCTTCCATGCCCTGGTGGCAGCCATCGTCCTCTTCTCCATCCTCGGCGTTGGCATCAACGCCCTCGCCAGTCTCGACATCCCCTACGGATCTTTTGAGAAGGAGATGGGTCCCGCCGCTCAGAAGAAGAACATCTAGATGTATACCACCCACGCACGATCGAGAAACTCAAACGTTTTCACGGCGCTCGCATCGCGGCATGTATTTTCTTTTTGACATCATGGGAGTTTACTCGGTAGGCATGTTTTAAGTAAGGGGAAGGGACGTTACAGGTCCACAGCTGGATCGAACCGAAATGATTAGAGCACTGGCTGTCGGGGTTCGTTAGTGAGTGACCTCGTCGTTGTTTCGCGAATGGCATGAATGTATTCTATAAAATGGACTTTTTTTTTTGGTTCTCTCTGCAGCCGCCTCCCAAGTCTTCATGATGTGAAACTCCGTAAACGCCTGTTGGCCGTATCTAGTCCGCGGCCACCGCAATCATGGGTTCTTTAAAACGTTCCTCCCCCGTTCCGTCATGCCGCGAAGCCAAAGTGACTCGTTCAACGTCCCTCGTCCTCATCTTCCTGGCCGTTCATCATGCAATACGCCTAGACAAGGTGGCTTGGCAACAAGAAGTTGGCGATGCCCTCGCGGATGGCGTACTCGTGCCCGCAGTTGCCGCAGACCAGCTTGCCCTCCATGATCTGCGTCTCCATGAGCAGGTGGTGCAGGTCCTTGAGCATCTTCTCGTCGCCCTGGAGCTGCTCAGCTGAGGGGGGCTCAGCAGGAAGTTCGGGGAAGCCCAACTGAGAGTGGTGGTCAGCGCATCGCTCATTCGTTCACTCATGGATGAGTTTTTTCAGTTGTATCCGAAACGGTGTCGCCGCCGGGGTGCTCAGGCAACACCGTGGTACCACAGTAGGATTGACGAACACGAAAACAGAACGAACAGGAGAAAACCTGTGTACTTGGGCTTGCAGACAAAAGAACAAAAGTAAAGAACAATGTATTAAACTCACCTCGGTCGCATTCGTTCGCAGCGCGGCCCAGTCTAAGCGGGGCAGGACGTTGAGTAGCAGCTGGGGGTTGACCTCGATGTCGTCTTCCACCAGCTCTGCGTCCTTCGGGTGGAGGGGAAACGAGGCCGCCGAGACCTTGCAGGCCTTGGCCGCGCAAGTCAAGAAGTTGAGACTGAGAAGCTTCATTTGGGGCAGGTTGCAGGAGTGGCTTTTGCAGCGAAATATTGTCTGCGTCTCGTTGCGCTTGTCTGAGTCGAAGTTTTGGGCATGGGAAATTTTTGGGCGACCCCACACGTGATGCGCTTTCGCATGTGGGCGTCCCAGCTATTGGACTGATCTCATGGAGAACTTAAAGCCAATCTCAAACTACATTTCAACGTCACACATGCACTCAGGAGAAAAAAATTCCTGGTTGTTTTTCTGCTCTTGTGGGACAGTTTTTGTCTCGATTTCTTTGCTTATCGTGGAAACTGCCGCGTCTTCCCCCACCATCACTATCACTTAAGCCATCGTCTTCTCGTAGCCGATGTCCTCCTTCGCGGCTCTGTTCTTGCTGACCTTCATGTAGACAGCGATGAGAGCGACAACGACACCAAGGAAGAAAGCCTTCTGGAGGAGGGACCAGCCCTCGCCGGAACCGACCTCCAAGGGGGCATCTTCGTTGGAGTAACCTGAAGCAAACTCGCTATGGCCGTATTCGCCTGCAGCGCCAGGGGCGTAGCCATCAGCACATCAACACTCTTGGATTTGTTTTTGGATTCTTGTCGGGAGAAATGAACAACTGCGGGGACATCGATGGTGTGTGTACATGTCTCGTGTGTAACATGCATGAAAGTGAGGGCGACGGGAGTCACAGTACGTGCTCAGAGTTCCACGTGGATACCTTCAGGGGGAACCTCCAGCTCTCCGCTCTTGGCAATCTTGATAGTCTTGACGGGGCGGTCGCCAGGCTGGGTCTCAGCCTGCTCGATCTTCTCGACGATGTCGTAGCCCTCGAGGACCTCGCCGAAGACGACGTGGCGGCCATCGAGCCAACTGTGAAGGCCGGGGTTAGCTTAGGTTTCACGGTATTGATCAGGAG